ACTTTTCTTATTTTAGTTATAATGGGCACGGTTCTAAGTTTTAATCCACGAGATAGACATCCAGTGTATTCATCACAGCCCAATTTTCCTTATAATCAATCAACGCACATTCAAAATCAGAAAACAAATGAAAATTCTGAATCAATTGACTCACAATTGAATAATTTTTCCTATGAGCAGTTAAATAATGCTAAAAACCGTGAAAATAAAAAAGCTATTTCACATCAAATATCGAAGAATGGCTCCGGACACCAAAATACTTGCGGAAGCGTGCAATTTAATATGCACACGCAGATAAGCTCGCACAACTTCAACAACCTTGCATATTCATCAAAAGACACAATTAACAATGACCTGGATGCTCATAATGAAAACTCAACTGTTATATCGGAAAAAAGTTCAATTGAAAAAAGCTTAAAAAAGCATTCTCTTTTTATTAATGCTCTATCTTGGAAAAAATTATCTACAGCTCATAATAAGAAAAAAGTTGAAAATAAGAATAAATGTGCAAATTTGCCAACTACATGCTTTAAGACTCAGCTATTAGAAGCTTCATATACGTCATCTTCTGATAAAAACAAAAATATTCAACTCCACTGTAATCATATTGAAGAGCATCAGCATCAACAGCACCATTGTAATCAAAGCCATATTATTCGGGAGCTTCCACTCTTCCCATCAACAAAAGCGCAAAAGCCATCAACAGCGAAAGAACTAGGAAGAGTTAATAATACAAACTCAATATCAAATCACAACAAATTGATTCAAAAACAACCCTTAGCTCTTACCCTGCCTCAGCAGTTACAGATATCTTCAATTCAAATTAAGAATACGAATCAGAATCATTTACCACGCAAAACTGTTATTCAGGTAACTATTGAATGAAGATAGCATATCCTAGCTTTTCTCTACTGAGGTCCCATTTGCAGGCATCAACATCCGAGTTATTAAAATGTCTCGGTTTGTTTTTACATTACCGGTGCCATAGATTAAATAAATTTGATCCTGGAGACGCTGTTATGTGGCTGAGAGCTGTCGATCGAAGCTTATTATTGCAAGGCTGGCAGGTAAATAACTGCAACTTTTAATTCCATTTTTTATAAATTTCTAATCTCGAGATATGAAAATAAACAGACCAGAATAAAAAGAGTCGGGTTAACCTACACCAACCTAACTAATTGAAAAACGACATAAGTAGGAATTTTTGATTAGGGTTAAGTCGTAAAAGCTGACCTTTAATCAAATATACTGAAAACCCAAAGTGATCTTCCAAATGAGTCTGTGGTCACATACATACTGCCCGTAAAAAAACTTAGATCCAGGCCAAGTATTATACAACTTTTTACAGTGATCTAAGCAATAGTTAATATAATTGACTCTACGTACAAAATAAAAAGATGGACAGAGTTTTTAAAATTCGCCGCAGTGTGCGTAGCCTTATAATCTTAATCTAATCGATTTTAAAAAAAGTAAGCAAGAAATATTAGGATACTTGATCTGTATGTTCTTTTCTAGAAGCTAAGAATAATAAAAATATAATTTCGATATTGTTTTTATTCTAAATTATCTATGATCGGAATCGAACTCGTAATTTCGTAAATTTCAAGTCTTTGGCTATAATAGTTTGTGCAATGAGCAAATGTATAAATCAGGCAGAAGGAATCATCTCTGGCCCGATAAAGTACATATAGATATATGTAGATATATTCTTGATCAATAGCTGAGTCGATCTAGTCTCTCCGACCGCCCGTCCGTATGTATGAAAGAAAGAATCTCAGAACCTATAAGACCTAAGACATGTAATTTGGAACGTAGGTCGCCTAGTGCCCGCACAGTACGAGTTTATTTCCACTAATCGATAACTTGTCCCGTTTGCAAGTAATCGATATCAAAATCCTGTTTTTGAGCAAATTTGGTAAATAATTTGAGGTAGAGTTACCAAACTTGATATGTAGCTTTATATACATATATCAAATACCTATCACCACCTCCCCACCACATAGCTATAAGTCAAGTAATTAAACCAATTATAACTGCTCATTAATTTAAGCCACAACTTAAACGCAATTGACTTTCTGGGAATATGCAAATATATTCTATTCATAGATCTTGGTGGGGCTGTTAAGTAGAGGCGGCGGAAAGAAGTTTGGTCTGTTGCAAGTTCGAACCCTACCGAGGGGATTTTTTCTTAAAATTTGTTTTTATTACCTTTGAAGCAAACGAGCGCATGTGCCAGCTGTACTTGGTGTTGGTAGAAGAGGGTTCAGGGTATTCCCTAGTCGGAACCTCCCGACTAGAGCCTTTTACTTGTATCTTATGACCAACATGGGGATCATCGCAATGGAGAAACAAAGATAACAAGAAATATATGACCAATTGAAAATTTTTGTGGTTTTCGTAAGCAAATAGGAATTTCGAATTTTAGACAATTTTAATCTTCACAGATGAGCTCCACTATACACGGCGAATTCATTACTTGATCTCCAGAGGGAACATCTGATTGACTTTAGGCGAATTTAATGATTTATGGTTTATCGGCAGCATTAAGTCTGCAATACTTTCGCTATACTAAATTTAATCTGGCACAATTAATTATAATTGGTACTTGTAATAATTTTCAATCGGTATTCAGTTTTGAACTCATACTAAGACTTGATCACGTTAAGTTTTGAGCTCGTACCAAGTGCCAAATCTGGAAATACACAAAAAATCAAATCTTTCTAAAACTCAAAAAAAGAAAAGGGAAAAAAGAAAGAAAAATTGATTCTTTCATTTCTAAACGCGTTAGTGTAATAATTTTGTATACCCTAAAAAGGGTATATTGTATTGTGCAAAATGCAAATGTATGTAATAGGCAGAAGAAAGCATCTCCGACCCCATAAAGTATATATATTCTTGATCAGCATCAACAGCCGAGTCGATCTAGCCATGTGCGCCTGTCTCTCCGTCCGTCCGTATGTATGAACGCAAGAATCTTAGAAACTATAAGAGCTAGAGACTTGTTGTAGGTTCTCCTACTCCATGCGCAGATCGAGTTTGTTTCCGATAATCGATAACTTATTCCGTTTCCAAGCAACCGATAAAAATCGAGATTATAATCCTTTTTTTTTTAGCAAATTGGGTACGCCACCTCCCCGCTACCACCCCACAGCTATAAATCAAGCTTATAAACCAAGTTTAATTGCCAACCGATTTAAGCCGCAATTTAAATGCAATTGTCTTTTCCTTAATACACAAGTATTCTATTGTACAAGAAGATATACTGTAGAAAATTTCATAATGATCGGTTTAGAAAAACCAAAGTTATATACAACTGCGCAATTGAATGGGGCAACAGCTTTAAGCATTTCTGTATACATGTACACACACACATTCATGCGCGTGTGCTTCGCGTTCTAACAGCATGGTAATTGCGGCTTTTTTCTGTAATGTTATTTTAGTTCCTTTTTATCATAAGAACTTAATTATTGGTGTGGTTGCTGAGTAGAGGCATAGCAAGTGGTGCGGTCTGTCGCAAGTTCGAGCCCTACCGGGGAAAGTATTTTTTTTTTTTTTTTTGCTGGTGTAGCTGTTGTGTAGAGTCGACAGCAAGTAATGCGGTCAGTTGCAAGTTCGAACCCTGCCAAGGGAAGTTTTGGTTTTTTTTTTTGGTTTTTTATTTGGTGTTGGAATAAGAGGGTTCAGGGTATTCTTTAGTCGGGAGCTCTTGACTAGAACCTCTTACTTGTTAGTTTTACTTTTGTAAACGTTTTATCTAATATATAAACTGTACCATCAATAGGTGAAGACAATGATCAAAGTTTAATCATGCCGAGTTTTTATGTTCTTTACACATTTTGAATGTGTATTTTTTAATTGAACATGCTTTTATAATTTACGGTTAAATTTACCTTATCTGGTTATTTAGTTCATTAATATCTATATAAAACTATTTGTCCTAACTAACTGACTGACTGACTGAGTGGTGATCAACGCGCAGCCAAAACCGTAAGAGCTAAGAAGCTTTTACTGTAACTACCTTATGTGATGAAGGTGCAAGTATGGAAAAATTGCGAAAAAAGTTTGTATGAAACTTTTTTGTTTACCATCCGAACGGCCTCAAACTCAATTTCAAAGTTCTTTGCTTAAATTCATTTAAGAGGTGTTTCACACTCTTCCAAAAATGTATTCCCCTTGGTGGAAATGGGTATCAAAGATTTGGTGGCTGACGTTTCGGGCTTAAGTTCATTTCCAAAGATACATAAGAAAACTCATTTGAGACCTGTTTTACTTTTTTGGCAGAATCAAAGCATCCTCATCAAAGATTTTTTTGATGTTTTTATTTTTTTCCGATTTGCTTCAAAATTATTTTTAAGTTATGCATACAAACTTAATAAATACGTGCTTTGACGATTTGGGAAATCCCACCCGCAACAGTGGTAAATTAGGGGAAACCGCTTGTATTAAAGTTGTTTGTTTACCGTCCGATCAGTTTCAAATTATCAATTTTTTCAAAGCTTTTTGAGAACGGGCAAGGCCGGGCTATTACTCAAATTTAAACTTTGTTTAAGGTTGAACTTTATTCTTTGCTAATGTTTGTAACTGTTTATCAAATTCGTTATTGTGATCTGCATATAATATGCCAAATAAGTATTTGTAGGTTGTTTCTACAGTGCTTATAAGAAGACTTTTGTTTATTTTTCTTATTCTTAATCGTTTGTGAGATTGTCGTTGCGCTAATTAACATAGTCATTAACGTAATTAGTATAAGTGTACCTACGGGAAATATTGATTCTCATTATTTTTTTCTTTTTCTTAAATATACTGTTATGATGTACAATTTGTCTTCCTCCAATATGATTGTATCTGTAAAGAATAATTTCTATTGTTTTGGTTTTATTCTGTGAGTCATTTGACCGTTGATTACTCTAATTTTCGCGTTAATTGATTTATAAAGACGTTCTATGCCTACTCTTCGTGTTTTGCGGGTAGTTATACACCAATACCGAATCTTTATCTGCTCTAATTCCTTGGGATTTTCCCATGTTAAACAAAGCTCTTTTTGCTCCTAACTAATCTTTACCGTTGAATACCTATAACACCTATAAGTGAGGGAAATTTGGAATAATTGTATATTTTTGTATATTGTATACATATATGATTTTTATTAAATAAATGCTGTCAAAGATCTTTAAAAATGAATTTGAAACCGATCGGTAAGTTAAAAAAAAACTTTCCTACAGCCGATTTACGCGAATTTACCGCTGCTGCGGGTGATATTTCCCAAATCAAGGAAATACGTATTCATTAAGTTCTTATGTAGAACTTTGAAAATAAGTTTAAAGCAAATCAGGCAAAACTTAAGACTTTAACACAAAAATTCTTTGAATCGTTTATTTAACAAAGAAATGGCAATTACATCTAAGATGATATTTCATATAAATCCCTAGCATTGAATTTGAGAGCGAAACGTCACCGACAAATCTTTGATCCTTATTTCCATCAAGGGGGGCTAGATTTTCCAAAAAGTGCGAAGCACTTGTTAGGCCGATCTGATGTTAAGCAAAAAACTTTCATAAAACTGTTTTTAACTAATTAACCATTGTTATGGGCGGAATTTCCCAAATCACTGTAACACGAGTACATTAAGCTCTTATGTAGATCTCTGAAAATAAGTTCACTAATAATTTCTAAAAACCGCACTCTCTGCCAAAGAAGCTTTGATTTTGAGAAAAATGTGAAACACGTGTCAACGGATTTTAAAGATATTTCCACACACGTAGGTAGAATTTCCCGAAAACCCATCTTTAGGTGCTTCATCACATAAGGTAACTACAGCAACAATTTTAGCTACCTTCTAGATCTCCAGTCAGTCGGTCAGTCAATCAGGACAAACAGTTGTATATATATATAGAAATAAAGTAAAAATCTATACATATTTTTCTTTTACAGGGGTTCGGTAGTTATTTCCATTGGTCTACTATCTCTGTGTTCTAATTTGCATTGGTTACAAATGTCTCATTTTATTATTTATTATATTTTATATTATTTCTGAGAATCTGGGATAGTAGTAATTGTAGTTGCTTAAACATGTTATCAATTTTGTTGTTAATATCCATATTTTTTTTTATTTTAGTTTATATGTTTATATATTCTCTAGAATCGTTAATGGTATCATCTCCTTTATTGAATTGATTCAATTTATTGCCGTTGGAAAATTCAGTAATTTTTCTCATGTTTCATGTTACGTGCAGAGCTTCTTTTGCAAAAATATATAATCCTTAGTCTTTTCAAGGGTCAATTGGATATATTCTATGTTTATTATACTTTTCGAAGAATATTTTGTTATTTGAACGTCATCTTGTCCCGATTTTGTAATCTTAATTTGTCGGTCGAATTAATTTAAAGGTTTTCTTCTTTGTATGATTCAGTGGTTACTTTAAACTAGATTGGGTGTATTTTGTATTGTTGTGGCTCCTTTTTAAGGCCCAAGTGTTAATAGCTTGGATTTGTATGAGAAATTAGGAATAAATGTACTCAAAAACCAAAAAATTATAAAAATGATTTGATTTGTTTTGCCGATTTTAGCAAAGGAAAGTTTTTCATCGCAGTTATCGTATCCAAGAAAGTTGAATACACAATTATATCTTCAATATATGTCAGACGATGCTAATTAGGGTAGTTTTCTTAAGACATTATGCAGCAATCCCTGAAAATGAGCTGGTGCAATATTTAAACCAATTTTTAAGTCAAAGTGGCCGATGTTTGCTGAAAAGACCGATTTTTAAACAGAGGTTTCTTCCATTTCGATTTGATTGAAGCCTTTGGCTATGTCAATAGTAGTAAAATATTGACGTCTGTCAAGTTTTCCAAGGATTTATGTCCTGAGGCATCCGCTTTTTCGGGGACGATCCATATAGGACTGCAATATGGTTCATCTACTGTAAATTTCTCGAGGTATTAGTACAAGTTGTCGTTTTGGTATGGTACGTTCGATTTTCTTTTTTTTTTGTGTGAAGTCCAGCTGACGTTGATTGAGAAAAACTTTTGCTTTTACTTTAATTGCCAGGCCGCCGTCTGTATCGTTAAATTTAATTGCATTAGAATTGACAATAGTTTTGCAATCAGATTAATGTGTGAAATTCTAAAAATTGAAATTTCCATTATCTTCTCTGCTAATTGTACTAATTTTGGCAGACCAGCGACTTATACCTGCGAAATAGCACGAGCCTCCGTTGGCAAAAGTTATACCCACAGCTATTAAAGGAAATGTACGATGCGTGCAAGTTGGCGTCAGTATTCGATAGTACCTGTTATCGATACTAGTATCGATAGAGAGATCAAACATTGTGGATTGCTAGCGGGTATTCCCGGCATTGTCCGTGGCAAGTCTTGTGCTTATTTTAGATGAGTTTGCCCACCGTGGGAAATTTAAGTCGACCCGTTCTATTTTAAATAAGCCCTCTGAATTTTTAGTGGAGTTCAAGATAGCATTGCAAAATATGATTAAGTTGCATTGAATAAAGAGCCAAGAGCTGCAATCAACGGTTTGTCTTTAGGTGAAAAATCTTGGAGATGACAAAAAAAAGTTTCGTTCATTAAAACTTTGATCTGCATTTGCTATTCAAGAGCGGTGACTTTTGCTAAGACCATAACTGAATTTTTTCACAGACCTTTGAAAATGATTTCAAAGCGGATCTGATTGTAAACAATAGTTATGAGTGGAATTTCCAAAATTGCTGAAAGTATACTTTAAATTTGTATATAGGGGAGGATTTTACGAAAAGATTCCAATATCGCTCAAATCAATACACATTAAGTTCTAATTGTTCACACATGAACACGTGATACCGAGTCTCACTTTTATCTTCGGTAAAAGCATATAATTAGCATATTATTCTATTGTACAATCTTTGGAATAATGGGGAAGACACTCGTTTTGTCGACCATTAATAAATAAATAAATAAAAGTATATCACACCATATCGTACAGCTGCAGCAAGCAGAATAAAAAAAGATAGCGCCGATGTGGTCGCTTAAGATTTCATAAGTGACCTACGCTAAGAAATATCATGATAGAATAATAAGTAGCAAGGGTGAGGAAAAGACCCTAAATAAACACCATATTTTATGATCGTTGCTGCCAATAATGCATTGACAGCAGACCTAAAAAAAAAGAATTTCTGTTAGTATATAAGACCTAGGATTCGTAAGAATAAAGTAAGTATCTTACAAGTACTTAAGCTGGACAGATCCGTCCACTAATGTAGAGCTTAAAAATCGGAGAAACTTAAGAAAACTTTGGAGTCACATTTTTTACAATAGAAGCTTGGATTCTGCAAATACAGTGAAATGCGTCTGAAATACTTTTTCATAAGGATTTGTGGATATGAATTGGATCGGCAAATGTCACCCCCCTATCCTAGACCAACATTTATACCAAGGAGGAATGCAGTTTCCGAAAATTTTAAAATACTCCTCAAATTACTCTGAACAAAGATACTTGGACAATGATTTTGAGCCCCCTGCGTGTTCGGGCACATATTTTTTGGCTTTTTGCCGCCATTACTTACATCTTAAGCTGTCGTTAGTTAAAATGAAGTAGGAGGAAAGACTACAGTAAGATTCTGCGGGAATATATATCTATGTTCTAACCTATGTAACTTCAGAATAAAACACTTGCGCTTGACCATTTGCACCACATGCGCTGACTACTAACATCAGAGTAACTTGACCAGGAGCCATCCGTAAGCCTTGCAGATAACAAATTGCAGCTCCACATTCGTTTTTGTAAGCGACAGCAAGTGCGAATTGCAGTAAGGATAAGACGTGGTGTACCATAAGGATGAAATTCGCATGGGCGACTCCCAGGAATGATGCGATCTACTTGAGCTTGGAAGCCAATCTGAGGCCAATCCAATATTCTTTTGGGCAATTACGAAAAAAAACTTTGGCGTACAACTGTACGAATCTGGAGAAGCACATAATAGAGAGGAGTCCAGGCAAAACTGGACCAAAACATAGTGAAAATGTGTGCCATTTGCTTCACGAGGCAGTTACCTTGCCGCCTTTCTAAAATCAGCTTACGGAGAACAGCATTTAGTGAATCCTACACTGACGAAGGATTTGGTCGCTACGAGATGGCGAACTGCAAAAGGGCCAACGAATGCTTCATGCTTATGCTTCATCGTCTTTTACATGACCCTGATGTCATGAGTCGTAATGCACCGCAGCCAGCAGGTTATAGATTGGTGAATACTGGACGAGTGCCACAGGCAGCGGATTCGACTTCCACTGAAACTGTATAGTGGTGTGCATTTTGGACTGCCAGTGCAAACTGCAATTGGTATCTGCGCACTTATGGGATAGGATAAGATTGGTATTCGACGTGGCAGCAAAGGTCGCCGACATTTCATTGAATTTGGCATAATTCAAGCGACCGCAACACTACAAGTCAGTAATGGCTATTCTCTTTTATTTCCGAGAAAATGTTGTTGGCTTTTATGGAGACAGCAGAGCGATGTTTCATTAAGTGTTGATCCGGCCGTAGAATAGATAAGCGCAACGATTCCTGTGGCGACGGGAGCTCACGAGTTGAAGCAGCATGCTTGCCAAGCGCCTCGCATTATGTAAACAACTTGAATGTATTGCACTATCGGGATTCAGATCCTGGCGCCTTTAAATCCATTATTAAATGTCACTATGTTGACGACTATGAGGATAGTTTTGACAGTGACGGTGAAGCTATTGTCCTATCACAAAGAGTAAAAGAATAACATGCGAAAGCTGGATTTGAATTGTGTCGGTTTACTTCCAGTTCTTCCGGCGCCTCCGGCCAACATTGGCATCGGAGGGAGCGAAGCTTAAGAAAAGATTCTGGGCTTGTGTAACCAGCTACCCACGGACGATTTCAAATTTAATATGAAATACTATACAGTTCTCCGATTTGTACTACATTTGGAGCGAGTCCCTCATTGAAGGAATTCTTGAGCTTGAGCATGTCAACATTTGATCCTTTGGGATTTCTTAGCTGTCCCATGAAAACTGAAAAGTTACCAATGTGTGAGATTTGACAATGGAATGTGCAACCGTTACCGGATGAGATCGCACGCCATTAATAAATGGCGTCAGGATATAACAACTTGGATAGGTTTCGAAGGGCAATACAACTGTATGTTTTTGTGGACGCTAACCAGTCAGCATTTGCAGAAGTAACTTACTTGAGGGTCACCTACGATGTATACCGCATAGTGCAAGGAGGCCAAAACACCAATAAATTGATTGTTTATCACTACCATGATAGGCGACATCAAGACCAGAATTTGGATAACGAAACTGAGTCGAATGTTGCCTACAGTAATTCCTGAATGTAGCGTGTGCAAGCTACATAGAGCGCAGCCAGCTGAACCTACAATTGCCGGAGGACAGACTGAAGGCCAATGGATGGCCATTTGAGTTTACGGATCTGGATTACCTTGGACCGCTCTGTATAACGTCATGGGTGGTGCTAATACGTGATGTAGCCGAGCCTCGAAGGGAGTGGATACTTTTCATTTTCTATAATTACTGATTTTAATAAACCAAAATAAAATAAAATTTCTTTTAATGGCTTCAATTACCACAATATTCTTATTTTCCAATAGTTAAATGACTGCTCTCTAACTTTTACGGAATCGAACAAGTTTCTGCTGAAATCTTCTTGCGCCTCTAGTGCGATAGTCGGAAGAACATCACTCCTTACCACCAGTTCGATAAAACAAATAAATCTTATCATTGTTGATTAGCATAAAATATTTATTGTTATAAAGAACAGAAATTGAACGTTTTTATAAATACAAAGAGAGAAGACGAGAAGAAATAAATGTATGTATGTGTGTGCACAGCAACAAGAATAGGAATTGAAATTGTTCAACTTTTGGTATTCGTCAAAATTGTTTGACAAGCTGAGGATTAATTATCCTTGCAGAAATAAGACTAAGAAGCTTATTATCTTAAGCCAAATAGGTCCCCACTACAAACGACAAAATTATATTTTAAAATATAACTATTTCATTTATGTCATATAAGATATAATAGAGAATTTGAATGTGTGTCCCATTTACCGCAGGCACAAAAGAGTCTACCAAAATCTAAAGGCGGGGCCAGCCACTACAAAAAAAGGATTTCTATCATGTCTCTGGGTTGTGCGCAAACGCACTTCATGGATCACATATGCCAATATAACCACACGTTTGATTTCATAACTTTTGTTTCTTAGCCGATCTTGATGAAATTCTTTAAATTGCATGTGTAGATCTATATAATATTCGAATATCCCAAAAGACAATTGATTTCAAATGTTGGATTAAACTTGCAGTTCTAATTGATTTATTTATTTGATTTATAACTTATGGTGGAGGCGGTTGCAATAGCAATGAAATGAAAGATGTTTGACCTGTAATATTAAACAAGCTACTTGTCAAATTTGGTAACTCTTGTAAAGGGCAATTAGTGATTTACAAAAAAAACAGGATAGTTATATCGCCTTTTTTTCGAATGAGCTTGGAAACGCGGCAAGTTATCGATTATCGAAAACAAACTCGTACTGCATGGCCGCTAGAATATATACGATATGGGGTGGAGATGCTACCTGCTGTTGCACACAGTTGCAAAAACTATTATACCCGTGGGTTCAGCGCAATTTAAGTGTTGATATTGGTGTCTTAGAAAATAAAATAGGGCTTCATACAATAACATTATTGTAACTTGTAAATTGTAACTTTAAAATTTTAATTTATTTTAGGACGTGGCGTTCATCAACCCAGCAAATGTTGTATTTGTATACATGTTAGTACGCGAGCTTGTTAACGGAGAGGAAACAAAGGAATCAGATCTTCAAGCTTCTGTTCTTACCTGTCTGTATCTATCATATTCGTACATGGGTAACGAAATCAGCTATCCACTTAAACCATTTTTGGTTGAGGACTCAAAAGAAAATTTTTGGGACAGGTAAGTACGTTTAGTAAAAATGCTCCGCAGCAACTATAACAATTTTAAATTCAAGTGCAGTTTTTTTGCTGAATCGCACTAATTTTAAAATTATGTACATATTAGACCATTTACACCATTATCAAACTAACTGAAAATCGAACTTTTATTTCAAGTACATCTCATTAGAATATTTGGATGCCCACCTTAAAAAAAAAAAAAAAAAAAAAAAAACAAAAAGAAGACAAACTTTACCTTGATCTTCCAAAACCAAGAGCTTAAGCTTTAGACAAAAATAGATCAAGCTAAGTACATATATAACTAGAACAGCATACAACCATACATA